ATAGACTCAGACTTCCAGGGTCCCCCCTCTCACACACATAAAATGCCTAGAAAGTCAGAGTTCATGCTTTTAACTGCATTACCACGCAGGAGTAATGCGCTCCCACGTGTGATCAAGTTATTTTTCAAATGATGGCAGCTTGATGGATTACCCGCTGTGAGCACGATTACCGTTTCTGCCCACTGATTGTCATAAATACACCGCAGTCAATGACTGAAAAACTGGGTTAACAATGCCCACACCGACACCTCCTACACATTCCCCAATTATCCCATCAGCTTCTGAGAGGGGTTGTCATGGCAACCCCCTTTATGGAATCATCTATACCAAGGAAATGATGTCACTGTCGTAGACGTTTTACTGCACAGCCTCGTTAAAAACGTGACCCATGACCTACTATATACTTTGTGTGTGACCAATGAGTGTTTGTGTGTGTGTGTGTGTGTGTGTGTGTGTGTGTGTGTAAATAGTAATGGACCCGGGTTCAAAGGCCTTAGCTGGAGGGTGAATTGGAGGTTGGTGGGTGGAGGTTTTATGCATGTATGGAGGAGAACAGAACACACACATGCAGAGCTCAGGGAGAGTCATTAGTGAATCCATGAGTGCTAGACCTGTTATAGATCAGCAGGGAATAGCAGGTAATAGACTGGACTTTAAAGTGCCCGCACTGACACACACACACACACACACACACACACACTCACACACTCACACACTCACACACTCACACACACACACACTCTGACTCCTTGTGGTCCCGCGAGGCTGTTGAAAGCAGGTCAGCGAGAGCCACACTGGGCTGTGTTTGATGAAGAGCATCAACAACATCGCTCGTTTCTTTATTTACTTCACACTTTCAGTCTTTATTATTTACTGTCTGATGTTTTATTTAGAAACAGCTCGTCGCATTCTTGCTTCTTCTGCTGTTTGATTAGAAAAGAAACCGGCTAAACGTTGAGACATTTTAGTCATTTAAGATCATAATAATAAAGTTTATTCTGAGTAATCAAAAACCAAATACAGAATACTCTACTTACCTTGAATTCCAACATTGAAGTGAATATTTTTCTGGAAGTCCGACTGAAACTGGACCATGTGCCGGATCACTTGAGAGACATCCTTAGGGGTCTGTAAAGCATCATGAGGGTTGCTTAGTAATTTCAGCGTTACACTCGATTTGCTGCAGCTTATTGAGTCATTATTGTGTAATCAAAGCTGTCCCCCGTGTTTTTTTCAATTAGGACTTAATTGCTCGATCTTCGATAAATGATAATGAGCTTAAAGTTAAAGTAAAGTGAATTTAATTAGCTTTCAGCTCGATTTTAAGACGAATTAAACTTAATGAACAAAGACATCGAGGAGTATCCCCCTGCTCACATTTCAGCATGCTCTGTGTTTAATGAAAGAACGGACTGTGTGTTAGTTCCAGGTACATTTATTCACGATGCATCTGCAGGTGTGAAACAGTCCTGTTGGAAAGATTTATTTAAACCACAGGCCGAGAAAGCTGAACACACATTCAGCCAAACAACTTTAGTTTAGTTCAGGCTCAATGTTTTCACACATGGGGGCAGAATATCAAACACACAGCACAGTCAGAGATACTGCGAGCGCTGAGTACTGTGAAGTGTTTTAAGTCTGCACAGTCACTGGAGAAAGTGCCGATAGTAATATCCCCCTCCTGCATCCATGTGTTTATCTTGAGTCTCTTGGCCGTCTCACTGTCTCCCTGAACTTCCTGTTGCATAACAAGAGACTTCTTTCTTTTCTAAAGTGATACCAGATGTTGAAGCTCTTTTGCTCCACAAATACCCTTTGTAGGCTTTAATACAGAACAGGGATTAATCAGACATATACAGAATATCTGCCTTTGATATAAACGGAAATTAAAACTCAAAAACATCAAAATAAACATTGAGGGGGAGTAGCAGAGAGAACTCCCATGATTCCCCACTAGCCTCGGCGTCATCTTTTGTTGTTGTTTTGATTGAGATCCCCCTGGCAGCGGATTTTACATACTGTGCGTTTAAAGAGGACAACCTCAGAATATAATACAAATGACCAAATTCAATACGGAGTTACTTTACACTTCAGGCACAAACCCTGCCTTTAATGTTGGAGCTTTGAAGTGAGCCATCTCAGACCCAAAACCTTTAGGAGTCTCTGACATTTATGAGCAACTAAATTTAAGACATCAGATTCACACACAAGCAGAAACTGCAGATTACATGTAGAGTTTATCCCTTTGTAAGTATGTGTTGCCAGTTGTGATCAAACATGACATCATCAGCATGTTTTCAAATTCAAAAGGGAAATTTTAACTTAAACTAAACACAGACCACAATCAGAAACTGGACCTTGCAGTGACAGAGGGTGTAACATATAATCAATGGGGATCGTGTTTCTAACAGTAACCACTACATGTCCCAGAATTTACTGTAAATAACCATTAGTATCCTCATGTGCAAAACCATCATTTAGACAGCATATTTTGAAATTGTTCGCCCGCAGCATTCAGGTCAGTTTTGGCTTTTGATTAATTCAGCTGACACCATTAAACCATCAAATCCAGAGTAAGAAGCTTCATGATTTGGTTGGAATACCAGGCATGGCATTTCTCTTCCTATCTAACAGAGAGAAAGTTCATGGTGTCTTTTGGGAGACTTTGTCTGATTCCACTCTCTGACTTGTGGGGTCCCACAGGGCTCTGTTCTGGGGCCACTGCTCTTCCCTTTATATTTGCTGTGACTGTGACAAACCTTTTAAAGATATAATAGCCGATAACATCTGTTCACAGGTGATATCCCACTTCACTTTTATTGAAACCTAGGGAGCCAGGGGATTGCACAACAGACATGAAACACTTTTCAACTCCATGCTAATATGAGTGAGGTTCTTGTTGTTTTTCCAGAAAATTATCGGGCTTTTCTCCTCTGCTGCCTACTACAACCTGAATGATTTAATGGTCATATTTGATTCATCTTCATCACTGCACAGCTACAATTAAACCTTACTATATCTAATTTCTTCCACCTATTAAATATCGTCTCTTAGATCTGTGTGTACGTTGGTAGTACACATTGCTGCATCCTGATTCACTTATAGTCTCCTCAAGTAGGGCATACTACCACCGTGCCCTTTGGCAATGCACTTAACCCAGTTATAAAAGTCTCCTGCAGATGTTCAATGTGTGCCATACAGTAGTCAGATGGGGATGTATTGCCTTTAACACATATTGGATGAACTCTTTAGTCATCGGATCGAGTATAAATGTGATGATGATGTAGCAGCTTAATTAAAGTGATTATCTGTATGTGTAGAAGTTCAACACACCACAGGATACTTTTAAAGATGCACTTACAATCATAAATTATGAAGGATATCGTTGCAAAATTACATAATGAAAGAAAATAAAAAGTTACTCTCTGAAATATTGATGTGATGTGAAGATGTTAAAGCAATGTCTTCTCTGAGATGAACCACATATCGCTCTCTGCTGAAACATGCAGCATCAGTAACGTTGTGTTTTAGGCGGAGAGCGTTTGTGGACGCTAGAGAAGATGCGGCTGCTGAGAAATGAAACAACAGAAGCTTAGCAGCATGACTTTCTACATGAGAACAACCACGGTGACTGCTTTATGTCGCAATCTGGCGTTGATGCAGCCAAACCTCTTCAGTGTGTTTCAGCAGACTGGTGGTGTCGGTGAGGAACATTTGCAGTTTTTTTATGGAGATTATAATTTGGTCCACTTTTCCCTCTATTGACAGCAGTTCTGAAGAGAAACAAGAAATGTCAGGAAAAGATTGTGTGATGAATGAATGGGACATTAATGTACATGTTTCTATATTTATTTAATTATATATATATTTTCTTTTGTTTTATTTTATGTGTTTTCTCTGTTGTGTCTTGGGATATAAAGATAAATATCTATTATATCTATAATATATGTGAACCTGATTTCACTCTTGAAAAGTGTAAACTAAGTTAAATGTTATGGTATTATTTGTGTTGATAAAAACTTGTAAGTATGACTGATGGAAAGCATGAAAGTAATAAAAATAATTATAAAAAATAAAAAAAATAAATGTCAGGAAAAGAGAGGGAGGGGTGACATGCTGCCATCGTTGAGGGTGTAACCCAGCGCCACGGGGAGACGGGGAGAGAACCGGGAAAACCAAATCAGAGAAAAGCATCTTGGATAAGTTTGAAAATGGGAGACGTTAAGATCGCTGCATCACTTTGATTCTTCATTGAATCCCCACCCACCATGTGTCCATATGTGTAAGATGTACAACACTTAAATAAAGGGCAACTCTTCTGATAAATTTGAGCACCAGTGACTACCTTTTCATCTGGAAATAATCTGTGACAACAAGCCTTTAGCTGCGTGTAACTGGGGGAAGTTACCCTCGTATGTTTTGGTTCCACAGTAACGAATGTTTTTTTTTTGTATTGACTGAAACATTTTTCATTTTAGCACAGACTTTATTGGAGTTGCAGTGTGTGTTTATGTGTGTTTTATTCTCCCATAGAGGCTTTTCCTCTCAGCTCCAGGCGGACTGTGAGTGAGTGTGTGTGTGTGTGTGTGTGTGTGTGTGTGTGTGTGTGTGTGTGTGTATTTCGGTGCTGCAGCTCAGACGAGACGGATAAAAAGAAAGCAGGAATGAGCATCGTTTGATCCTAAGGGCAGCGGCTGGCGTACAGCCGTGCTCTTTGAAAGCTCGAACACACAGTGGAAGAAACAAACAGTGCTGCAGACAGTCCTGAGGCGTGTGTGTGTTTGTGTGTTTGTGTGTGTAGCGTTATATCTTCCTCTTCTTCCTGCACTTAGACTAACAAAGACTAATGAGCAGTCACCACATCTGACGGGGCTCGTCTATTCAGATTTGATCTTAACTGTGTTTCTCTGGGCGCAACAAAACTTGAGCTTGTTTTCGCTGTGAACACATTCAGCACGAGGCTGTAACTTTGTTTATTTTCTGTCTCTGCGTCTCTTCAGGTCTGCTGAGTGGAGACGACACAGTGGGTGGACAGACACAAGAGACGTGTCCACATCAGTGAAGGTAAGTCAGCGTTTCTGTTGGATGTTACACACCTACATTCACAAAAACAGACCGGACTAAGAGCTTCTTTTAACTCACAGAAGTCCCCTCTTTCAAACGGACATTTTGCGTGTTCTTCAAGCCCAATGACGAATTTCATTGTATTGATACGCTGCATAGCTTATCGATAATGAGGGTGGCCTTTTGGCGGCTGGGGTTGAACTCTGACCCTCTCCACTTAACCACATGTCATCCCCCCACTCTATCAACCCCATGCCCGACTCTATCCTCTGTCCTGTCTTCTCACTAAAGGCGCTTTAGACCCCAAAAAATCTTTTAAAAAAAGTTGCTTTGCACATTTTACATCTTACAAAAAAGCAACAAGTATAAGAACAACAAAGTATATTGTTCACTCTTCATGTGTGAACGCAAATGGACACATTTTTCAACTCAACTTTACCTGAATTTTTTCCTTCCAGTCCCCTTTAAACTTTCCACAGGAAGTCGGGGTGAGTTGATGTGAGAATGCGACGTCTCACTGCGAGTAACGTTGATGAAGAGGCAAAAAAGTGTTGCTTTGTCTGTCCTTCTTCTTTTCCGTCCTGCCTCCTGAGACCCCGCCCCTTTTGTCCGTCAGGGATAGTCTCTCCCTTTGAGGTGCATGTGTGAACAACTAGCTCAGGAAGATTTCCGGTGCAGCCTGAGTTTCCCAATCAGAGTTGAAAGAGCCAGAGAAACATCCAGCGAGTTTTTCAATTTCAGAAAGGCTTTTGAGAAAAATTATTATCCGACCTCATTCATCAGAAATCGCCCTGAGCGGTCCTAAAAGTCCAACAAATGACCACAGCGTGTACCTGAAAACTTTTTGACCTGCCCAGTGAAACAAAATATTTGCACTTATGTTCGGTTTATCACGAGCCACATGACTCAGAATACGCACTCTGTGATGCTTTCCTCTGTTCAACATGCTGCCTTGATTGATTTCTGTGCAGAGGGAAAGTTCGACCAATCAGAAGCTCACATGCGTTCATGATCATCCAGTATTGCTGTGTTTGTGATCAGATTGTTTCTGCTCATCTTCTGCTATGTACAGTTTTTATTACCAGTTTGTGTAGCGCTCCCAGTAGCGCTGCTGAGGGTAAAGTGTGTGTGATGGGGGGAGGGTTTTTTTGGGGAGGGGCTGTTGGTTAAACAGAATTGATGTTGGAGGTTTATATGGAGGTCACAGAAATAGCTGAAGGGGCATTTAGTGTGTTATTGCCTCAAGCTTTACTTCTCACAGAGATAAAAATTAGATTCTTCAGAAGAAAAGTGCACATCACATAAAGAGAAGAAACCTTTTCTAGCAGCTGGGAAATATTCTTTAGAGAACATTTACAAATTCCAGTTTTAAGAAAATGCAAATGGAGACTTAAAAAAAAAAGATCCTTGGCTCATTTCTTCCTCTGTCTTCTTCATCGTGCTAACTTAAGCAGCAGATCTGCATGACCTACATTCACTGCATTTAATATATTCTACTGTGAATGTATAATGTATAAGAAGCAGGATTAGATGTGATGTAAGTCAAATTAGAAGGTGGAGAGAAAAATGAAGGAAAAGAAAAGGTTTCTGATAATTAGGAGGTCGGCCTGTGACACTGAACCGAAGCTCGACCTCCAACCAGTCAGTGTAGGTTCTAAAAATGTTAACCTCGAGAAAGATCTGGATAAAACAACGCTATCTCAACCTCACAGTCAAATGTTCCCACCGCGTTATTAATGATTAAAATCAGCTAAAAATAAAGAAGGGATTCTTTTTATGGCTAATTTTTGATTTTTTTCCGACATTATATTTTGGGCCTTGTTGCCGTTGATCGAGAAGAAATCTGAAGAGAGACAGGAAATGTAGAGAGGTCATATCACTATTTCTTTTTTTCTCAAATTTTGAGACATGACATGAGTTTAGAGTCATTTTTTCAAGGCAAAATATCATTCATTAGCAATGAACACAGCACAACAATACTTGTTCAAACATTTAATGTGAATTGTAAGATATAATAACAGATGTGTGTGTATGAGAGGGGTGTAGGTGTGAGAGGCTGGTCTGGGAGGTTGATCGGGCGAACGAGAGAGACGAGGGAGAGGCGTGTGTCGAGTTGGATGGGAAGGAGGGAAGGGATGAGGGGGTAGGGAGGGAAGGGATGAGGAAGGAGGAAATGGATGAGGAAGGAGGGAAGGGATAAGGAAGGAGGAAATGGATGAGGAAGGAGGGAAGGGATAAGGAAGGAGGAAATGGATGAGGAAGGAGGGAAGGGATGAGGAAGGAGGGAATGGATGAGGAAGGAGGGAAGGGATTAGGAGCACCGAGCAGCTTTCTTTGCATGCATGGCCATTAAAATTCACAACAAACACGACTACATGTGAAATCAGTTCATGAGATTCAAGTGTGAAACGAGGGTTTTTGTTTACACACACAAATGAACCCACAAAATGTAGATGACAAACAGTCCCTTCACCTCCGCAGCCCCGTGTCTCTGTGTTTGTGTCCCTGTAGAGCTCCATTAGCACTCATCATCATCAACATCATCATCATCATCATCCAAAATGCCTCTAATGGAATCCCCCAGTCCTGCAAACAAAGGCACAAAGAGCGAGTGTTGAGTGTTTGTGAGTCCTGCGCCGGGGATGGGCATAGCTGAATATGAATGCTCTCCCTTCATGGACAAAGAGGAAACACAACAATGAGCTTCATGTGTAATTGCACATGATGGAATGAGGAGATGACGATAACAGTGAGAAACAAGACCATTACAAACTGTGCGGTCGTGTTTGGAGACTCTGCGTACTTTCATTTTTTTTGCACTTTTTTTGCAGCATGTTATCTCCCGTCAAAGACGAGCGGTTGATAATGCTTCGTTCTTTGTGAGTGTCTGAATCGAGGAAGATATTCCTGAAGAGAGCACAAATAAAAAAACCTCCAGCAGCTGATTAGGCCTTTCTTTTGTGTGTGTGCAGCTGGAATAATCACATCTTAATTATGCTAATTATGCTCGTTTTCACAGTTCATTTAAAAGTGAGGTGATTTTAACTCCTGCATTTTCAGAGAGATAATAAAATTAGTTAGGGCTTTAAAGGCTTTATATGTGATTTTTTTGATCCAGCAGATGTCGCCCTTGAGCACCAGCATGAAACCAAAACAACTTGCGGTGCATTGTTGTGTTAGCATGCTTTATCATGCTGGTATCTTCACACTGCATGTAAATTTACCTGAAATGAGCGTGATCTAGAAACACAGTTAAGCAGTGAGTACAGTATGTTATTCTTCTTTTCTCTAGTCCCTCAATTAAACAACTTTTATACTCGAGGGGAGGAGTCAGCCGGCCGTCCCGGCGATGTAAACAAACTGAAGATAGGACTCTGAAAACTCTGAAAACATCACAGACAGTGGGACTCGGGTGTTACACCCATTGTAGACAGTCATGACTCACAGAGTTATTTTCAGAGGATATTCTTGATTTCTACATTTAAGTGTGAAAAATTGCATATAAAGCCTTTAATTCAAATAAGAGTATCAAAGTCTATTGATTCAATCAAAGGCACACATCCAAAACTGAAAAAATGTGCACCATAAAATCTGGAATATAAAACTCACCGGTATGTAAGACCAAGCGGCAAACTCCGGTCTTGAAAAATTAAGCCAATGCGGAAGTCGAAAATCCTGCAGTTCTTTGAGTGTCCACTAGAGGCTGGCTGCAGGAACAGCGGAAGTTACATGACGGTTTATCTTATCTATTTTCTTTGTCTGTATTTTGCCTGACAGGGCAAGAGATGTCATCGACTTCACTAGAATTAATTGTACCAAGGTGTGTGATACAAATATGTGCAGTCCAGAACGTGAATTACCTTGTTTGTATCACTTGCAGACTTTGGGGGGGTCGCCCACAAGTTGAACTTTTACAACTTCACCAAGACATTTGTGAGCTAAAGTTTCATGAGAGCCAGTCGGTACTAAGATGTCTTTGCATTGCTTCAGAAAAAGAAGCCAACTTTTCTTTTAAGATTTAATTTTAGGCTTTTTAAGCCTTTTTTTAGAGCTAGGACGGTGGACAGAGTCGGAAATCAGGGCAGAACGACATGCGGGAAAGGAGCCACAGGTCGGATTTGAACCTGGGCCTCCCGCTCGGAGGACTATAGCCTCCATACAAGAATCTTTAGAGTTGATTCTTGTCTTGTGAATGACGTGAATGAAAACATTTTTTACATCCAGAAAATCAGGTCAGCTGACATCATAACGTCTCTTTTTACTGCAAAAACAATCTGAGTTTGTTGGCCTAACACCACTGTAGTAAGTCGCTGGAGGCGGTAGAGTTCATTCAGACAAAATCCCTGAAGCTGGAAGCAGAAAAACCAGGCTGCGTACTGATCCAGATGATGTTATTAACCCAGACAAAAAGTCGGTTTTCTTGAAGGGTTAATATTCATGTTTTTTAACCACACAAATAATCCCGCGGTCACGTCGCATACGGTCCAAACGCTGCTGTATTTGTGTAAATGACAGGAGACCTACATTTTCCAACCCCCCCCCAACATAGTTTTCAAAGAACTGTTTTCTTTAAAGCTCCATTTAGCAATTTTATGCTAATTCCCCGACGTTTCAAGAAGTGGGTTAACATGTGTCATGATTTTGACTCTGAGCACGCTTTTGCCAACACTCACAGAAGGTCACTGAGCAATGCTCACTGATGCACAACACACTGTGTACACACAAAAATTCAAACTACATGTTAATTTTAGAAACAGCCTGCAACAGGCCCGTCTGTTTCTGCTTGGAGCCTGAGAGGCAGCAGAGAGAGATTCATGCTGCACACATGAATGTAGCGTTAGCATGAAGCGCTCCCTGTGATGCTAATGTCTGCCTCCGGTTGTGGCCCTAAAGTGAGAGCGAGGTAACACTGACCTGGTTGTGTTTTGGTTTGTCTATTAGGTCACCCAGTGTGTGTGTATATGTGTGTGTGTGTGTGTGTGTGTGAGAGTAAATCAACT